TGAAAAAAAAAAAAAAAAAAAAAAAAAAAAAAAAAAAAAAAAAAAAAAAAAATATTTACCTTAGCTACAAGACCAGAATTACGAAGGTGGCACTGGTGTCTCCACCTTTTCAGAACTTACCTTATAAATTGTATTTAAGAGACCAGGTTTGATTCGTTCTTGCCTGAGATGATGATTCAAAGAGAAATAAAGGAAACAGTTGACAGACTTGTGCAGAACTAGCTGTGCATTGAAGTGCTGCTTATTCCTGTATCTGTCCTTTGTGTGGATTCTTTAACCTTTCCTGTCCTTTAGGAGATGAGGAGTTCACAAAGGAAGTAACAGAATTGTTTTCAGAACTGCGTATCTCCTCAAAGCCGGACAAACTGATCCTGGTGAGTTATTTCCCATCTTCTAAAAGCTGGAGAGATTCCTCACAGGAACTGCTGCTCGGTCCTGCTTTGCTTGTGAAAATATCAAATGCATAAAAACAAGCCGTGTTTTAGATCCTTTGACAATAGTAAGCAAAAGAGATGGGCCTTTTCCTTTGACTTTATGGGGCAAAATCGTGTTCTGTAACGTCTTTGGCTCTGAATCGGTAGACACCAGCGTGTCTTTGCCCTGTCACTGGGCAGTAATAAGTGGTGGCAAAGGTAACCGGGAGCAGTAAGCCTTCAGCCACTGCGATGAAATCAACCTACAGTCATGAATTGAAGCCCTGCTCTTGGTACAAAGCAGCTGGTTTTACTACGTTCAGAGGTTGGTATGAAGTAGAATTGCCTTTCTTGCCTTCATTTCACTACCCTTCAGATCCACCAAGTGGCAGCAGCATTCTGCAGACATGTTTTTAAAGCACCTCTGTTAGTCATGATCTTGCTGGTAAACTCCAGCACCCAGTGCTAGAGAAATGACTGCCCTCAACTACATCAGTGCAGCCAACCCTCTACAAAGTTCTGAAGGCACTAGGATCATTTGTCCTCGTTCTTCTCACTAGCTCAGAAGTCGTAGCTGTTTCCTTCCTCTAGAGAGATCTAATACTCCATGTTTTGTGGTGTGCGGGAGGGCTTCATTCCAATCATTAAATACTATGGCACATTTTCATACAGGTGAGGACATCTGCTCATGAATGGATAACACGATTCAACAGTAGTCTTCCTAAAGAAGAAGAAGAGGATGAAGAAAACCAAGAAGTAGAATCCAGAGATGGTGACCATGATGCTAAAAAATCAGTAGAGGTAACTGAGTAAGGAAGGAAGAGAATATCTGACCGCAGAGTGTTTATCTGGCTGCTACGTTACAGTTATGATTCCCAGAGTTTATGGGTTTCTATTTCTGTGCAGATTCTGAGGTCTGAAAGGGCAGTGTAGTGATAGTATGTTGTGTCATTCACTTGTTTTAAATAATAAAAGCTGCTAGTTCTTGTATGGTATGGGAAATCTTTTTAACTCTTGCAGGATATTCATGCATTTGCCATAAGAAGTCTGGCTGAACTGACAGCATGCTCCATTGAAATGTTTCACAAAACTGCAGCTTTGTTTCTACATGGTCAGAAACAAGAGGTGACAGCCACAGACAGAGCCAAGTCCCTTTCACAGTAAGTTCATCTTTTAGTAAATGCGTAGCATATAATTACTTACATACTGATTAAACGGTCTAATAATTCTTCGCAAATCCATGGCATGCAGGGCTCTTGAATTCTGCGTATGTGTTCAAAGTTGCAATGGGTGGCATCACTACCTTCCAGCAGAATTCAGCTGTCTCTTTTTCCAGCTTAAAGGCGTTTCTTGATAAGAAAGAGGAAACACTACTTGAAAACTTTTATATAGCCAAGAATGCTTGTCCTAAGCTTGTGCTAGTTAGTAGATAGACATTTAAAATATGACAAAGCAATTGTATAAAAGTGATTCTTAATTACCACTTTGTCAATCATTTAGTATGTTAGGTATGTGATATTGTAAAATTACTGCACTAATTAGTAGACTGGTCTTACCAATAATGATGACATGAGAATTTTCTTTTATGTCAGGAGGCATTTGGCAAGTGTATGAAATATGCAGTATTTTCTAATTCAGAAAATGACACTTGTCAGTAAAAAAGGCAAGTTAGTACTGTTCCTTCTTGAATGGATGTGTCTGTCCTCTGAATGCTGTTTCAGATCTTCAGCTTTAATTATTTATTTTGCCATCTTTCCTCTCCCTAATTTATTTGGGGAACTCCTGGATCTTCATACACTGTTTATGTGCTCTATATCATCTTTGGTTTAATTTAGCTTTATATGCATGGAAACAAGGTATTTGTGTTTTAGAGGAATGCTAAAAGAAAGTTATTCTTGATGCTAAAAGAAAGTTATTCTTGTAGACTGTATTTACTACGTGGTTTTCCCACTCTTCTTCCACAGAATGACGATTGCTTTGTGTAAAGAACTGTCAGCTTTCTCTAAGGAGTTTACTACGTGCTTAACGACTGCAGGGGTAAGAGTTACACCATAGTTCTTAGGAATGAGATGTGGTTAGTTGATTACAGCCCTGGGATCTTCACCGCGAAGTGCTTTTCGTGTTTACACATTTATATATGCAGTTTCCTGCCCTGTGAGCTGATTTCTAGGTCAGCGTTCCCCAAACTGTGGCAGCTGAATGTATGCTGAGCTTTTGAATGCCTCCTGCTGCCTTCAGCCTGGCACAGAGTGGGGGTGGGAATTGGTGCTGACAGTACTCAGGAGACAGAAGAAAATAAGGTTTGTGATCCTGTAGTGGATTTTCCAAAACACTCGGGTGTTACTGGAGATTAATATTATCTCTAAATTCTCCAGTTGTCCACAGTTCATTTGAAGATGTAATGTGTGTATTCATACATGACTTGTGTTGGGCACATGTGGGTTACTTTGTTCTTATTTGCATGCTACAGGGCAGGTCCTCTGCAGCTTGTGACTTGGCTTTCCTACAGTCAAGGGAGCAATGGTGATTTTAAACTTACTGCGGATTTAGCTTTATCTTGCTTGAAGAAATGTGATCAAATTTTCAATCAGGATAATATATGTCTGATCTCTGCAGGTCAAAGAGAAAGCAGATGTGCTTAATCCCTTAATCACGGGAGTGTTTTTGGAGGTCAGTTATGCTAAAGTTAAAACTTTAAGCTAATACTTAAAAAATAGATATGCGGGTTTTTTTCCACTTAGTATCCTTATGCATGCCAAGTTCTCTAACCCATGGTCTAAGATTCTGCTTACCTTTCTAATAACTTAAAAGTTTTATTAAATGTCTGTAGATTTGCACAAGAGATGAGTTACTTAGTGAAGAGTGAGCCTGATGTGGTCTCAGCTGACAGTTATGATGGGTCAGAAGACACATATTAAATTCAGCAGTCTGGATTTCTAGAATTTAAGTGTCCATGGTCAAACTTTAGACAAGCTCTGAAATTAGCGTGCAAGAGTCCCAACGCTTCCTAGCTGTTAAATTGGTTCTCAATGCTTGTAAACTTCTGAGGTGTGGTAGGAAATGGGTGTTTCCTATTGGTGTGTTCTTCCTTCCTGCCACAGCATGCTTATGCTTCACTTTGAAGTAAATTCTTCTCATCTGTAATTGAAAACAGTATCCTGCATTTGGATTGCACCTGATCTTGTTTGGCAGTTTTTAAGCCAGTTGCTTTTTTGCCTAGTGGCATAAAGCCCCTCAAAAACTCAATATTAAATTGATTTCTAGAATGAAGCCTTAAAAATCCAACAAGCACTAGGCTTCTGTTTATGTGCATTAATCAATGCTGTTTGAAGTGAGTATGTGGTTAGTAAAGCTGATTGGTAGCATAATTATTAATGTGTGTATTTTGATTTTTGTTTTCACAGGCTTCAAACAGTGCTTCATATATCCAAGATGCCTTCCAGCTCTTGCTGCCTGTGCTGCAGATCTCTCTTATTGAGGCTAGAACGGAACTATCACAGCAATAAAAATCCTTCTAATTAAGAACTTTTCGACCTTCCCACTTTGTAGTTTCCATGCTGGAGAATGATGTAACGACTGTTATTAAAGGGAAAAAGATTAACTCTGATCGCTGCTACTGCAAGAACGGTGATTAAATGCAGTCTGGCAATGACAGCTCTTACAGCACATTGTGAGATGTGATTAGCGTAGTCCAGGCTGGTGGACAACGTGACAGACTTAAAGTGCAGATTGCTTCTCTGTTTTCATGGACTGTCTGTATCTTTTCACGGAAATCCCTCTGCTGTATGTGTTAACAAGCTCTTTGGAGAAGCTCTCTGGACTGTGAAGACAATGCTGGAGAAAAGATTAGCAGCTGGATAGTTAGAGTTAGCTAAAATCATGGTGTGATTTTTAAGTCAGAGAGACATAATTAGGTTCCTGATAGCTCTGCGTTGGTGTTGAAGTGAATATTGGATAGGAGGTGCAAGAAAAGGCAAATATTTATTATTATGAACCCTGCAACTTCTAGGCTGGAAAGAATAGAGCGGAGAGGATTCCTTATCGAGCCATTGTTGCTGAAGAGAAGCCCCGGCTTCCTGAAGATGTCTGTTAATGACTCAGGGATGTGGGACGGGGACTCTCACTAGGGTGCTGTTTCTCATTCTCTTGCAGAGTGCTTGCTTCAGCACAAGCTGGGAAAATGTTGATCTGGCCCTAAGAATGTGGGTACTTTTCTTTATAGCAATAAATGAGAACTGGCTAAAAGGAATTTGTTCGTGTTTGGGCAATTTAATGAGAGAATTTAGCAGGAGGACTCCCCTTTTTCAGTGCAGCTTGACATGTCAGCCACAGACTGTTCACAAACTCAGATACTGCTTTTCTCCTGTTTCTGTGTAAAAACACTACAATGCAATGCTCCTTCTTGGAAGGTATATTAAAGTGGGGGGAGAGAAAGCAATTTGGTTCTGTTAGCGGGAGTCCTAATTTGTCTCAGAAGCTGCTCCACATATGGTATCTGTTTCTTTGTGCTGTGAAAGTTCCCTGCTTTGTTCCTTTTTGCAATTTCTATCTTTTGAGCCTGCCCATGGGGAGGGAGCAGCCTCTGTTGGAATCACAAGAGCAGAAATGCACAGCGAAAATGGAACTTCAAGAAGTCCAGAATAGCTAACCAGAGGTGACTGAGTGTCACACCTGCCTCTCTACTTGCTCATTGGTAACAATGATGCTCAAATCCCATTTTGAAAATCCTCTGGGTTTTAGCAGGTCTAGCACATTTCTGCTGTACTGAAGGCTTAACATTCCTCTGCCCTATTTGTGCAGTAGAGAATTGTCTTTATTACTAGAATACCTTTTGGCTAATGTTCCTCTGATTTTTATATATATGGAAAAAGGCTAACCAGTCCTGGTTAGACTGGTCAGATCTCTAAAGAGAGAGCCTTTTTTTGCATTGTAAAGAATACTAGACTTGAAAGGAGTGTGTCTGGGCTAAAAAATCTGCACTACAATAAACTATTTTTTTTTTCCTTTTTTATGTTGATAGCATTATTAAAGAAAGGATTTGTTTTGACAACCATTTCAGTTAAGAGCTATCAAGATAGCAATGGGCACGAATGAAATGAGGGGAAAGAACTGCGTCTTTTTTCTTCTCAGCCCTGACTGGTTTGTGGGGCAGGGCTGGGAGCTGGGGCATTTCTCATGGCAGGGTACTGTCTCATAGGAAAGAGGGCTCTGAACCCTGGCTGGGGAGTGAGAGCTCCCACAGCCGAGCTCCCAATTCCTGCATCAGTGCAAAATGGCAGCTTTGCTCCTGCCGCAAAGCCAAAATTTACAGAAATGTCAGAAGAGAAGAAATAAAGATAACGGGGTTTTATGAAGCAGCAGCTGCTTTTCTTGCAGATAAATTCTACTGACCTGCAGTGCTTTAGTGTAGAGTAGTTTAATAATTAAAGGAAATGAGGTGATTTTTTTTTTAAATGCAGATGGTAATTCTTTCAGTCATATGCCCACCTGGATTTTTTTTATAGCAGCCAATAATCAGCTGTGCACCAGCTTCACCTGTGTGCCAGTGCAGGGGCTGCAATAGATAGCCAACAAGAACAGCTCCACAGTTGCTGAAATCTTCCTACCCAAAGGAGTCATCAGAATTCAGCATCCAACTGTCTGGAGGTCTTACTGCTCTGCCTTGCCTTGCGTGTGAGCCTAATGAGAGCTGGCAGTAATTTGAGCACTTCTGGTAGTGTTTGGGGAGGTGAGAGGTGGCTGAGAATAGATAAGAGTTAGCGAAGATGCTGGCAGTGACTTGGAGGGGGAAAAAAAAAAAAGCTTCCACAATGATTTTCTTTCCTTGGGAGAGTTTCTGTTACTCGCAGCTGTAAAAGCTGCTTCCTGGCAGCTGCTGTGGAAAGGCTTAAAACGTAAGCCCCTGATGGGCTTTGGGGCTTGCTCCTAGCCCTTGCCCAGCCAGCTTCCCAGGGACTCATTTTTCATTATTAAAACGCGCACGTTCAGTAGCAGCAAAACCTCTGACACAGGCGGGATGAGCAGTTGTCCTCGTTTGGAAGAAGCAGCAGCTACTGGTTGCCACTGGTGGCCCCGAGCAAGGGGACAGCTGTCCCAGGTCACCCGCAGCACAAATTAAACGGCCTGACTCCGAGGCAGGAAGGGGAAGAGAGCTCTGGCATTTCTTTCCCCGGTGTGCATGCTGGGTCCTAAATAAACAGTGGTCTACGATGATGTGATTTAAGCAGAGAGATTGGTCTTCTGTAGCCAAAGGCTCCTTAGCACAGAAATGAAGGACATAAGTGCCCAGTACTGTGCTAATTAATGTTTTCTGGGAGTGTTGCTAGTCCCTCGCAACTCTGCACGTTGATAGCAGCGCAGAGGTGGCCATGCGCTGGTGTTTCGGGTGCTGGCTGGCAGGTTGCTTTCCTTCCTTCAGGGGCAGCTCTGTGCCCGCTGCAGGGTGAGAGCAGAGCCCATGCAGTTTGCGGGCTGGGACCTGGAAGTAGCTGTGGCTGCCACCCTCCGCTGTCCTGCTGGGTGGTGGCAGCCACCCCTGTGCTGTAAGATGCTGCTGACTGCAGCCTGGCCCGATGGCCGGGGCAGTCCCTGAGAGCTGGTTAGCTGGGATGACGCTTTGTGTCCCCGTGTCCAGGGAGCGGTGGCAGGGCTGTCCCCTGAGCTGCTCTAACTGGAGGATGCTGCAGGTTTAGGTCCCTCATATCAGAGTACTGAGAGCCCGGCTGGGGCTGGCAGGGAGCGAGCAATGACGTCCCCAGTTAGAAATAAGATCGAACGTGGTGTTTGTGGGGGAGGATCCTCGTAAGGTGGCAGGAGCTGCTCAGAGGAGTGGGGTTGGATGCCAGCCGGTCCCGACACCAAACAGCCTCCCTGGATCTGTTCCAGGGTCCCGCACTGTGCTCCCTGAGCACGTCTCCACCGAGCTCCTGCACTGTACCCTGAGTTCCCTGGCTGCATCGACCTGGCGGCTGCATCGCGCTGGGACAGGTGAGATTGCTGCCATCATTTACCCCAAGACTGAGTGCTGGTCACCGGGAGTTCCCTGAATGATTCGTGCATGAGCTGAAGCATCTCTGCTAGAAAGCACCACCGCTATTGATTGCAAAATTGGCAGCAACAGGGACTCTGCTACCAGCTTTGTTGAGCTGCTCCAGGGTTTATCCACCCTTGCTGTTAAAACCCATCCCTTATTTCTGATCTAAACCTGCCGAGCGAACTCTTGCTCTGCATTTGGGGCTGGGGCAGACATGGCCAGGTTTTTGGGAGAGTGACTTACGCAGGGAGCAAGCAGCTGTGTAGGAGTTACCCAGGGTTAGTCTCACTCGGTGGGAGGGGGCTCCATACACGCTGCAATTACTGTAAATTAAAGTAAAATGACTGTGGGAACAACTTTGTTGTAGAGTTGAAGGCTTTAAATGGGGCAAATCTTGCAGGAGAGGTAATACCTTTTATTAGGTGAAGAAAACAAATTAGCTTTCAGGTACACAAGCCCTTCTTGACATTGTTGTTACCTGTTATTATCCCATATTGGTGCTATTAGAAATGAGGGCATTGCGTTAGAGGGGAAGCACGTTATGCAAGTGTTTAGACCTGCTGGTAACTGCTCTCTGCTGACAGGTATTTGCTTAATGATATGTTGGAGTGAAAGCCAGCAGCAAGGACAAGCATCAGAGGGAGCTGGCAGTGCTGAGCTCTGCCTGGTCTGGCCTTGTCTGGACCTCCTGGAGCAGCCTGACACCTCGCACCAAGAGGGGAGCAAGGACCTGCTGGAGGTTCCTCCCACTGTGGTTTTAAGGACACCCCCAAATCCCCTCTTCTCTGCTTCAGACAGGGTCCTGGCCATAGCACATTCCCAGATTGAGTTCCCGGTGCCCCCACTGGTCCTGGGGCTGGTCCCTGTGGGTGTCTGCAGCCTCCAGAGCTGCCCTGGCTTGCTTGCAAAGGGTCAGGAGGTCTTTCTGCTCCTGCCCACACTGGAGGCAATGTCTGTGAGCCTCTTGCAGGTACAAATGGGACTGGTCATGTTCCCGGTGTCATGTGCTGCCTGTGGCGGGTGGCAGAGCCAGTTTTTCTGCTCTGAAAGTGGGACTGGGGAGGAGACCGCAACACTCAAATACCCAGATCCCTGGTAGCTGCCAGCCAGGTGTTGAGGAGACCGCTTGCCTTTTTCAGCTCCAGGTAAGGTGCTTTCCTGTCTCCCTCATGTCATCGAGGGGATTTACAGAGTCGCCTATCAATTTTACGAGCTGGAGAAGCAGAAGGGGAGGGCAGGGTGAAGCAGAGGGTGTAGAAGGAGCATCCCTGGGATGGCTCGCATTCCGTGTGGTCTTGGGGATGGGAATCGGGCATCATGCCTGAGCCTCGTGGGAAGCACTTCAGTCCTCTGGGTGAGATGGGAGCAGGCACAAATACTGTGACATGTAAGCCCATAGTGCCTGGGGGGGTAAGGCCATCTGAGCTATTGCACCTGGTGGGGTATGAATACGCAGGTTTGCTTCATTAGCCAGAGATCTGATCC